TCTGTTAGAGTGCAAGCGCAGGACAGGAAACTCCGAGCGAAAACGCTCTCGCAGCCGAAGACGTGCTCTGCTGATCCAAGGGATCAGGACATAAGGGACTTCACCCTTGGTGCGCAAGGGGAAGACCGTGGTGTAGCGCGAGAAGTCGTCAACGACGATCAAGAAGTACCTCTCCTGGCCCTGACCACGAACGCGGGCTGGGCCCCACACGTCCATGTGGAGCGTCTGCAAAGGAGCTGTCATCGGGGGGAACGAGGAGGAGTGAGGGGCAGCGCGCTGCCGCCCCTCGACACAGGGAAGACAAGCAGGAGCAAGGGAGGGTGGGAGGGGAGGGAGTACCCGAGGAAGACCAGAGACAAGGTACCGGGAGTGCATGCCCCGAAGGCGCTGCACTGACGGGTGACCAAGTCGGTGGTGCCAGAGGACAGTCTTGTGCGCTAGAGAGCGACACGAGCAGGGGGCAGACAGCTGACCTGACGCAGACGCAGACGCAGACGCCGCTACCTGAGGGGACTCAGTGGTCAGTGTGTACAGGTCCGAGCCCGGCTGCCGAGTGAAGGTAGCCAGGTGACGGCCCGTCCGAGCACACGTGCAGTGTGTCACACGCTCGTAGGCAGGGGTGAACTGGTGAACACCCCCATCCTGAAGCGCACAACCCGCCACCAAGTTCGTAGAGAATGAGGGGAGGTGGAGACCTGACAGTGTGCCCGACGGGACAGCAGGACAAGGAAGGACAGTGGAGGAGGTCGCAATGACCGGACCCCCAGAGGGGTCAGCGAGCGAGACAGCGACTGGTCGAGCAAGGGGCTCAAGAGCAGTGCGGTCACGAAAGAAACAGCGCGAAGCGCCTGAGTCTAGAGTGAAGGTGTGCAGTGCCTCAGTGGACTCAGTAGTACCTGGGGTGGCGGACACACAAGCACCTAGAGCAGTAGCCTCACTAGCACCTGGGGCAGCAGACACGCAAGCACCTAGGGCTGCAGCCTCACTCGTGCGGATGCCTGGGTCAGGCGGAACACACAGGTACTGGTCCTCCTCTCCACCAATAGTCAATGCATACATGGCTTTGAGAATAACATCAAAATCAAGAGCATAGATATCGATATCCTTCTTGAGGAGATGAGCCCACTGAGGGAGCTCAGGAGCGTCAGAAAACTGAGCACGCCACGCGTCATCTAGGCGAGAGAAGCAGCGCTGCGCAGTGTGCGCCCTCCCGCACGTCTGTCCCTTGCGGCGACCAGTGCGGATGACGTACGTGCAGCTAAGGCTACCCCCCCAACCCCCGTGCTGTAAGTACCACTCACGAAGCTCCTGGGAGGACTGAGGGTGCTGCGCGCTCTGGCCAGTGCCAGAGCCTCCACGACCACCACCGCCGCCTCCACCACGACCACCACCGCCCCTGCCGCCTCCACGTCCACTGCCGCCACCACCACCGCCCCCACCCCGGCCACCGCCGCCGCCGCTGCCTCCACCACTCCCACCGCTGCCACTAGCCCCTCCAGCCCCGCCACCACCCCCACCGCCGCCACCACCCCCACCACCGCCTCCCCCGCCGTCACCCCCACCGCCCTTGCCTCCCCTGCCCTTGCCGCTGCGACGCCCGCTGGGAGCGGACGCTGAGCCGACCTGCTCAGCACCAAGGAGGTCGACAGCAGCAGTAGAGGCGACAGAGGGGAGCAAGGGGGAGGGGGAACACCCCTCAAAGAAAGGGGTGCGGGGGTCGCCACGAGAGGTACCTACAGCTACAATACTCTTCTCAGCTGCAAGTAGTTCCTTCTCTAGGGCGGTAATGGTGAGCTCAGTGGGGCAGCGAGCTAGGAAGTGGTCCCTGACTGTACGCAGAGTGTCAGGGAGGCGGGTGACTAGGTGGTAGAGAGTGAGCCAGAGCGGGGGAGGGTTGGAGGCAAGAAACTCAGCGGGCATGGCTGCACGGAAGCGGGCATCACTAGTGCGGAGGTGAGTGATGAGGTCAGCGACTGTCTGGAAGGCGGATAGGTCGGGGAACAGGTAGGGAAGCGAGGGGCGGCCTAGTGCAGCTGAGGCCGGGGAGGAGTAGCGCGCAACTACAGCAGTGTACAGGGCCTGCGCAGTCTGATGCTGGCCAAAGTGCTCGCGCTCGTCGACTGGCAGGGAGTTGCGAATAGCAAAGCGGGCGTGGGCATCGCGAGTCTGCCACTGTGAGCGAGCAGTAGCAGCAGCAGTAGTAGCAGGAGGAGGGACTGTGCCTAGTGCGTGATCGTACAGCGAGATATCCTCTCTGGCAGTGAGCTGGAGGAACAGGTGCAGATCATCGAGCCAGGTCTCAAACTTAATCGGGCGGCCCTCAGCATCGAACGAGAGAACTGGAGGGCTAGCCATAGCTGAAGTAGCAGTAGCAGAAGTAGCAGTAGCAGTAGCAGTAGCAGCAGCAGCAGCGGTAGTAGTAGCAGTAGCAGTAGTGGTGCTGCTGCTCAGGTAAGGAGGGCGCGGCCCGGCTAGGACGGCGCGGCTCGGCTAGGGCGGCGCGGCTCGGCTAGGGCGGCGCGGCTCGGCTGGGGCGGCGCGGCTCGGCTGGGTCGCGCGGTTCGGCTCGGGTCGCGCGGTGCAGCTGGGGTCGCGCTGTGCTGCTCGGCCGTAGAGGGGCGAGCGCGGGAGGGGCCGTTCGGGGGCCGGTCGGGGCTAGCTCGGGGCCATTTGGGGACCGTAGGAGGCTAGCGCGGGGCCTTAAGGGGCCGTGGGAGGCTAGCGCGGGGCCTGAAGGGGCCGTGGGAGGCTAGCGCGGGGCCTTACGGGGCCGTGGGAGGTTAGCGCGGGGGCCGCACGGGGCCGTTCGAGGCTAGCGCGGGGCCAATCGGGGCCGTAGGAGGCTAGCGCGGGGCCGTAGGTGGGCCGTGGGAGGCTAACGCGGGGCTACACGGGGCCGTTAGGGGCTAGCGCGGGGCCATAGGGGGCCGTGAGAGGCTAGCGCGGGGCCGACGCGGGGCCTTAAGGGGCTAGCGCGGGGTCTTAAGACGGGGCCGTGAGAGGCCGTAAGGGGCGACGCGAGGGGCCGTGAGGGGCCTGAAGGGGCGACGCTAGGAACGAGGCGCACGAGGGCGCGAGGAAAAGGCGGCGCACGAGGGCGCGGCTAGCGGAAACGGTGGGCCCTAACGTTCCGGTCCTAGGTGGAACCTAGGCTCGTAATACCATGTCAGAATGAGAAACAGGATTGTGTGTGACTAGGAAGAACAATAGTACAAATATGAAACCCTAAACTGGTGTACCCCCTATGGTGTGACCCACTACAGCCTAGAACCACACAAACATATAATGTTTGACACGTCTCTTCCTCGTGTGTCGCCCACACGACCTCAGAGACGGCGTCGAAGGCCCGCCATCATACTTGCGGCGTGGATTTGAGGAGCTTTCTTCAGCTCTTTTGCGCGACCAAGCCTCAGCATCTCGTTTTGCGCCGTCCGTCGTCGCCATGGCTCGATCGCTCTCCGCAATTGCGCTCGTCGCTGGTCTGCTCGTCCTGCTCGGTACGCCCCACTCCCTGCTCGGTACGCCCCACTTCTTCGCTCCGGAATTTCCTTTCGCCCGCTCCAATTTGCTTGTTCCATCACTTTCGTGCCGTGCCTTGCTTCTTCTTCCCCTCCCCTCCTAATGCACATGTCATCCCTTGCGCCCTGCTCTCGCATCGTGGCCTCCCCCCCGCCGCGCCCTGCACTGGGTCCAATCATCTGCTCCTCAGCCGCAACTCACGCAGAGGTACGCTTCGCCTCTCGCCTCTCGCCTCTCGCCTTCCCCGCCTGACTTCTGTTGCCATCGCTTGCGCGTTCGGCCCGCACCTCTCCTCCCATGCTGCTCGTCCTCGGCACGTGCGTTCGAGTCTCAACGCCGCGCATGCTCCACTCGTCCTCACCCGTTTCCCCACTTCGGTCCCGCTCATCCCACGCTGCTCGGCGCGTGATTTTAGAAGTCAGTTGATACGGCGCTCACATGCGAGCAATTCATCTCAGGGACCTTGCAAACACGTTTATGTGCCATCCTTGCTGCCCCATGCACACAGGCGCGTGAGATCGTGGTGGGCGGCAACAAGGGGTCACATGCGCCGCCACTGTACTCCTTACACCTCCCCTCGCTGAAATTCCTTGGCTGCTAGTTGCATACCCCGTGCTCTTGCTTTATGCATTGCCTTGATGGCCGCTTCATGCTCCCCCTTATCTCGCATGGGGTCCCATATCGCTGTGCATCACGTGTGCTCTACTCGTCTGGCATGGCATGGCAGTGTTCAAGTGGACGGGTTACCACGATGTGTGGCTGATGAGCGGCGCTGCTGCGTACAACAGTTGCAACTTCAACGGTGCCAAGGAGAAGGCTAAGGTGGCCAGTGGCAAGACGTACAGGTCAGCTCCATGCGTGTGTCGTGAAGTTTCTCTGCTTGTCTCAGTCCGCCCATGCTTCTGATTTATGCCGCCTCCCTTGCTCACTCATGCACCGTTGGTGCTGCCACCACAGGCCAGGGAGAATAACTCTGGGGCCTTGTGAACACCTTAATGCAGAAATTCGTGTCTTGTATTCCATCCTTCACAGCTCTTGCACCTACCTGCCTTGTGTGACTTGCCTTCCCTTGCTTGGCCCCCTCCCCATTACAGGTTCACAGTGCCGACGACAGCAAGGGGCAGCACGCTGTATTTTGGCTGCCAAGTGTACGGCCACTGTGGAATGAACATGAAAGTGGCCGTTGCCGTCCAGAAGTGAGGGCGTTTCTTGCCATGCAGGAGCCCTTAATTCGCCAGAGAACTTGACATGAGCTGAGCTGAGTCACACATCAGTGAAATTGTTATATACATGTGAGCCTCTGTGTACTGCTGCATCTTTAGTGAAGCATTGGGTGCCTTTTTCTATGTTTAGTTTCCAAGAACACACTTTCTGTAAGCAGGGCCCAAAATAATTAGGCAAAAATTCTTAAAATAAGGTACCCCGATCTCAAGTGCCATTTCCTTAGGTAGGCAGTTTTACCGGCTATGAGTGCTTCAGTGTCATGCGTGCTTCTTCATGTCAATTATTTCTGTCAGCCATGCGTGCATCTCCTGCCGTGTCAGCACTCGCACCTTGCACGCTCGGCTCTCCATGATAGACCTGCTATGCCATGAAGTGCCCATAGCATGCCATAACGTGGAAAGCCATGTCATGTGGAGCCATGCCAATGTGTCATGCCCAGGCACACAGACGAAGCCACATGCTATCAGATCGAGCCCTGTCGTCACAGATGGCATGTGTGCTGCATGTGTGTGATGTATGTGCCGACAAGTGTGTGGCATGCATGTGGCACGCAGGTGGCATGCATGTGGCACGCAGGTGGCATGCATGTGGCATGTGTGTGGCATGCATGTGGCATGCAGGTGGCATGCATGTGGCATGCAGGTGGCATGCTGTGGCATGTGTGTGGCATGCATGTGGCATGCATGTGGCATGCGTGTGGTATGCATGTGGTATGTGTGTGGCAAGTGGCTTGTCAGTCTACAGGACTCGGGCAACCGTCCGATTCATCCACCCCCATCAAGGAACACATTGTTCCCTTGCACCTCCTTCCTGCACCTTTTCGCTTCATTTCTCCCAAGCTCAACCCCTTTGATCGTGCTTCTTGATTCGTTCATCACCCCCTCCTACATCACTGCCCGCATGCCTCACCGCATGCCTCAACACGCGCCCTCCATCACCTAAACCCGCACCTCAACACGGAGAGAGCCATGGAGCGCACCTCAACACGGAGAGAGCCCTGGAGCGCACCTCAACACGGAGAGAGCCCTGGAGCGCACCTCAACACGGAGAGAGCCCTGGAGCGCACCTCGACACGGAGAGAGCCCTGGAGCGCACCTCGACACGGAGAGAGCCCTGGAGCACACCTCGACACGGAGAGAGCCCTGGAGCGCACCTCAACACGGAGAGAGCCCTGGAGCGCAACTCAACACGGAGAGAGCCCTGGAGCGCACCTCAACACGGAGAGAGCCCTGGAGCGCACCTCAACACGGAGAGAGCCCTGGAGCGCACCTCAACACGGAGAGAGCTCTGGAGCGCACCTCAACACGGAGAGAGCCCTGGAGCGCACCTCAACACGGAGAGAGCCCTGGAGCGCACCTCAACACGGAGAGAGCCCTGGAGCGCACCTCAACACGGAGAGAGCCCTGGAGCGCACCTCAACACGGAGAGAGCCCTGGAGCGCACCTCAACACGGAGAGAGCCCTGGAGCGCACCTCAACTCGGAGAGAGCCCTGGAGCGCACCTCAACACGGAGAGAGCCCTGGAGCGGACCTGTGGCAGTCGAGGAAGTCGGAGTATCGCAGCAGCACATGCGAGGCCACCTCCCCGCGCACCAACGCGCACAGGTCGCCGTTCCCAATGCTCCAACCGCTCTGCTGTGCCTGCACGCCCTCCAGCAGCCCCTGCAGCGCCTGCACCCGCCTAGTGAACGCCGCCACGTCGCCCCGGTGGTCCGACAGCACAGCCGCCACCTGGCAGGGTGGGTGGTGGGGGGGACGAGCATGGTCACCCGTGGTGCGCACTGGTGTGCTGTGAGAACTCTTAAAGCGCATGTGGAGACTGGAATTCAGCCGGCACGGAGTGGAGGAGGGCTTGAGGGTAGCTTCAAGAAGGCTTGCACGCCCCCTCGATGATCCAATAAAGCGGTGACCACCCGATTGGGGTGTTGGTTGGGAGTGGTTGAATGGCTGTATGAGCTTATCATTGTTGAAAGGTTCTTGTTCGACAAGGAAGGTACGAGATTGACAAGGATGCAGATTGTTGGTACAAGATTGACAAGGATGCAGATTGTTGGTACGAGATTGACAAGGATGCAGATTGTTGGTACGAGATTGACAAGGATGCAGATTGTTGGTACGAGATTGACAAGGATGCAGATTGTTGGTACGAGATTGACAAGGATGCAGATTGTTGGTACGAGATTGACAAGGATGCAGATTGCTGGTACGAGATTGACAAGGATGCAGATTGCTGGTACGAGATTGACAAGGATGCAGATTGCTGGTACGAGATTGACAAGGATGCAGATTGCTGGTACGAGATTGACAAGGATGCAGATTGCTGGTACGAGATTGACAAGGATGCAGATTGCTGGTACGAGATTGACAAGGATGCAGATTGCTGGTACGAGATTGACAAGGATGCAGATTGCTGGTACGAGATTGACAAGGATGCAGATTGTTGGTGCTGAGCGCAGTAGAGAAAGACGCGCAGTAGAGAAAGTCAGACTGCAACCTCCATTTGAGCGCAGCAGAGAAAGTAAGACTGCAACCTCCATTTGAGCGCAGTAGAGAAAGAATGAATGCAACCTCCATTTGAGCGCAGTAGAGAAGGTAAGACTGCAACCTCCATCTGAGCGCAGTAGAGAAAGTCAGACTGCAGCCTCCATTTGAGCGCACTACAGAAAGACAGACTGCAACCTCCATTTGAGCGCAGTAGAGAAAGACAGACTGCAACCTCCATTTGAGCGCAATAGAGAAAGTCAGACGGCAACCTCCATTTTAGCGCAGTAGAGAAAGACAGACTGCAACCTGCATTTGAGCGCAGTAGAGAAAGCCAGACTGAAACCTCCATTAGAGCGCAGTAGAGAAAGACATACCGCAACCTCCATTTGAGCGCAGTAGAGAAAGTCAGACTGCAACCTCCATTTGAGCGCAGTAGAGAAAGACAGACTGCAACCTCCATTTGAGCGAAGTAGAGAAAGACAGACTGCAATGTCAGTAGATTTGCACTGTGGATGCCCGATTAATCCTGGAGAGGGTTACAGGCGCGTTCGCCTGGGGGGTTATGGGCGCACTGACCCGCTACTAAAACAAGCCCTTTTATCCCAATGGTCTAGTTGTTGGGATTCTGACATGGTATCAGAGCGGTCTCGGGTTCGATTCCCGGTGTATGCACATGTAGGCCGTTGCCGCTATGCTTAGTCCTGGGCCTCGCAGTGTAGGGGGGTGTCAGTAGATCTGCACTGTGGATGCCCGATTGATCCTGGAGAGGGTTACAGGCGCGTTCGCCTGGGGGGTTATGGGCGCACTGACCCGCTACTGAAACAAGCCCTTTTATCCCAATGGTCTAGTGGTTGGGATTTTGACATGCAACCTCCATTTGAGCGCATTAGAGAAAGACAGACTGCAACCTCCATTTGAGCGCAGTAGAGAAAGTTAGAATGCAACCTCCATTTGAGCGCAGTAGAGAAAGTCAGACTGCAACCTCCATTTGAGCGCAGTAGAGAAAGACAGACTGCAACCTCCATTTGAGCGCAGTAGAGAAAGTCAGACTGCAACCTTCATTTGAGCGCAGTAGAGAAAGACAGACTACAACCTCCATTTGAGCGCAATAGAGAAAGTGAGAATGCAACCTCCATTTGAGCGCAGTAGAGAAAGTGAGAATGCAACCTCCATTTGAGCGCAGTAGAGAAAGTCAGACTGCAACCTCCATTTGAGCGCAGTAGAGAAAGTCAGACTGCAACCTCCATTTGAGCGCAATATAGAAAGTCAGACACAGAGAAAGTCAGACTGCAACCTCCATTTGAGCGCAGTAGAGAAAGTCACACTGCAACCTCCATGTCAAACTCATATGCTATAGTCTTTGTAGGCTGTAGTGGGGTAGACAATATAGGGTACAACACTTCTAGGTTTTCCTACTTGTACCCACCAGCTTGCTAGTTCATTCATTCCTCATTTCTTCACATGGTATAGAGCAGGTTCCTTAGTGGGAACTTTTCCTAGGGCCCACGACTGAACATCGATTTTTTTTTTCCTGCCCTGAGATCGAGTCGCCCCTGACCGAGGCGCGCCCTGTGTGCCGCCCTCCCTTTAGCAACCCGTCACCCTCTCACGGCCCCTCGCGACCCTGTCGCCGCCCCCTAGCGACCCGTCGCGCCGCCCTGAGCGGCCCGTCGCGCCGCCCTCAGCGGCCCCTTGCGGCCCCACCTACGCGGCCCCGTCACCGCCCTCTCGCGGCCCCGTCGCCACCGTTTGCGGCCCCGCCGCCGCCCTCGCGGCCTCGTTGCCGCCCCCTACGCGGCCCCGTCGTCGCCCTCTCGCGGCCCCGTCGCAGCCGTAAGCGGCCCCGCCGTCGCCCTCGTGGCCGCGTCGCCGCCCTCTCGCGGCCCCAGTGCCGTCCTCTTGCGGCCTCGTCGCCGCCCTTAGCGGCCCCGTTGCCGCCCCTTAAGGCCCCATCGCCGCCCCTTGCGGCCCCGTCGCCGCCCCCTTGCGGCCTCGTCGCCGCCCTTAGCGGCCCTGTCGCCGCCCCTTAAGGTCCCGTCGCCGCCCTTAGCGGCCCTGTCGCCGCCCCTTGTGGCCCCGTCGCCGCCCCCTTTCGGCCCCTCCCCGGCCCCTTCACCGCCGAGCAGCCGAGCCGCCGAACCGCCGAGCCGCCGAGTCGCCAAGCAGCCGAACCGCCGAGCCGCCGAGCAGCCGAGCCGCCGAGCCGCCGAGCCGCCGAGCAGCCGAACCGCCGAGCCGCCGAGCTGCCGAGCCGCCCCTACCGCGCCGCTGCCGTCGAGCCGCTGTCGAGCCGCTACTGCCACTGCCGAGTCGCTGCCACCGCGGTTTCAGCCCTATTCCTCCCGACGCGCCCCGGCCCTACACACCCGGACTGGTGAGAGCATTCCCTGCTAGACCACTACTGTCATGGCTACCCCCAGTGTCCTTACCTTTGATGCTGAGGGTCGTGCTCTTGCCTTGGAGGTCTGTGTCGATGACCTACAGCTCTTCCTACAGTGCGATAGGGCAGACGGCCTCTCCCTGTTCGATCTCACCTCTGGTGCCTCTCCTGCCCCGCCTACTGATGCTGACAGCACTATTCGGTCACAGTGGGCCACACGCGATGCTGCTGCCCGTCTTGCTGTGCGTCGCCACTAACCGACCGCTGAGCGTGCGCACTTTAGTCAGTATAAGAGTGCTAAGACCTTGTACGACGCTGTGGCTGCACGCTACTCTTCCCCTGCCACTGCTGCTCTTAGCCGCCTCATGGTGCCGTACCTGTTTCCTAACCTCGCGGCCTTTCCCACTATCGCTGACCTCGTTACGCACCTTCGCACTAGTGACACCCGCTACCGCGCTGCGCTTCCTACTAAGTTCTGCGCCAAGAACCCCCCCCCCCCCCCCCCATGTACATCACCCTCTACTACATAGTCATCCGGCTCCCTGACTCCCTTCGCTCGGTTAGGGACCACTTCCTCTCTCTTTGCCCCACCACACTCACCGTTGACCTCCTCGAGGAGCGCCTCCTGGCAGCTGAGAAGAGTATAGTCGCTGTAGGAGCCTCTCGAGGTGACCCACGTGCCCCTGTCTTTAAGGGGTGCTCCCCCTCCCCCCTTTTACCCTCTGTTGCCTCTACTGCTGCCGTCGACTTCATTGGCACCGAGTCGGTCGACGCTGCGTCTGCCCCTTAGCGGGCGACGCCGCACCAGCAAGGGCAAGGGAAGCAAGGGCGCTGGAGGGGCTGGCGGGGGCGGTGGAGGTGGCGGTGGAGGAGGCGGAGGGAGTGGGGGTGGTGGTGGGACTGGTGGCGGGGGTGGGGGCTTCGGTGGCGGCGGTGGCGGCGGAGGCGGCGGCGGCGGTGGCGGTGGGAGCGGAGGAGGAGGCGGTGGCGGCGGTGGTAGAGGTGGCGGCGGAGGAGGTGGAGCTAGTCGGGGTGGCTCTGCGCAGCGGGGCGGCTTAGGTGGTGGTCAGCGCCAGCAGCAGCAGCGCACTCGTGGGACCCCGTCCCCCCAGCAGCTTTGTGAGTGGTACGCTGGGCGTCAGTGAGGTGGGGGTACTGGTCCCTGTACCTACGTCCCCGTACCGGCGACCGCGCTGGTGAGCAGTGCGGGGGTTCGCACTCCACCCAGCGCTGCTTCGGCCGCCTGACGGACGCTTGGCGTCACCAGTTCCCTGACGCCACTTAGATCCCTCGCTGGGGAGAGCTGTCTAGGGCGGGGGTTGCTATCTTTGATCTTGACTATGATGCTATTCTTGCTGCCATGTATGCTGTGTCTACTAGTGATGAGGGTGACTGTTACCTGTGTGTTCCGCCTGACCCGGGCATTGAGGCTGCTGCTCTAGGTGCTGGTGAGGCTGCTGCTCTAAGTGCTAGTGCGTCTGCTGCCCCAGGTGCTGGTGAGTCTGCTCTCTCAGGTACCACGTCGGCTCAGGCCTTACACACCTTCACCCTTGTCTCGGGTGCTTCCTGCTCCTTCTTTCGAGACCGCACCACGCTTACGCCGCTTAGTCTGCCGGTTGCGGTCTCCTTGGCGGACCCCTCTAGGGGTCCTGTCCTTGCTCGCTTCTCCTTTGTCTTACCGTGTCCGGCAGCCCCCTCTGGCACCCTGTGAGGTCTCTACCTCCCCTTGTTCTCTACAAACTTGGTGAGTGGTGCTGATCTACAGGATGGGGGGGTTGACCAGTTCACTCCTGCGAGTCAGCGGTGACCCACTGTACGTGTGCTCGGACGGGCCGACACTTGGCCACGTTTACCCGTCGGCCAGGGTCGAGCCTGTACACACTGACTACTGAGTCTCCTCCGGTTGCTGAGTCTGGTCAGGTGTTTGCTGCAGCGTCCAGGTCTGGTCCTGAGTCTGCTCCCTGTTTGTGTCATCTCCTGTCCCACCAGACTCTCCTTTGGTACCACCGGCTTGGTCACCCCTCCCTGCCTCGTCTCCGAGGCATGGCCTCCCGTATCCTTGTCTCTGGTCTCCCCCGGTCCCTCCCTCCCCTCCCTCCGGGGCCTGCCCCTACCTGCGTCCCCTGCGTCGAGGGGCGTCAGCGCGCCGCCCCTCACTCCTCCGAGTTTCCTCCGACAGAGGCTCCGCTGCAGACTCTTCACATGGACGTGTGGGGCCCCGCCCGCGTCCGTGGCCAGGGTCACGAGCGTTACTTCCTATTGGTGGTGGACGACTACTCGTGTTACACCACGGTGTTTCCCTTGCATAGCAAGGGTGACGTCACTAAGATATAGATCGACTGGATCCGCGCGGCTCGTCTCCAGCTCAGAGAGAGTTTCGGCTCGGACTTTCCTGTTCTGCGTCTGCACTCTAACAGAGGCGAGGAGTTTTCCTCTGCTCGTTTGGGAGCCTTCTGTCGTGCACAGGGCATCCGCCAGACCTTCACGCTTCCAGCCTCTCCACAGCAAAATGGGATTGCTGAGCGCCGCATTGGCATGGTCATGGACGTCGCTCGTACGTCCATGATCCATGCGGCTGCTCCCCATTTTCTGTGGCCGTTTGGAGTTCAGTACGCAGCGCATCAGCTCAACCTTCAGCCCCAGGTCTCCTTGCCGGAGACCTCCCCCACCTTGAGGTGGACGGGGAAGGTTGGCGATGCGTCTGCGTTCCGTGTGTGGGGATCTCGGGCGTATGTCCGCGACTTGTCTGCGGACAAGCTGTCCCCCCGTGCGGTTCCCTGCGTCTTCCTTGGCTTCCCCCCTGACGCGCCTGGTTGGCAGTTTTACCACCCCACCTCGCGCCGTGTTCTGTCCTCCCAGGACGTCACCTTTGAGGAGTCGTTGCCTTACTACCGTCTCTTCTCCTACCGCACTATGCCCCTCCCCCCGCCGCCGCTCTTCTTTGCGCCATGTCCTCCCCCGGTAGACTCTCTCTCCCCTCAGGGTCCTGCCCCGTCAGGTGTGTCCCAGGTAGACGCAGTCGAGCCTGTCAAGGTAGCTGTTGACTCTGGTGCTGCTAGGGGTGCTGAGTCTAGGGGTGCTGAGCCTGGGGTTGCGGAGCCTGGGGGTGCAGAGCATGGAGGTGCTGAGCCTGGGGGTGCAGAGCCAGGGGGTACGGAGCCTGGGGGTGCTGAGCCTGGGGGTGCGGAGCCTGGGGGTGCTGGGTCTGCTCGTGTGGCCTTTGGCGGTGCTTCGTCGAGGCGTGAGCTACCCTCTCCATAGGAGCTGCGCGAGTGGTTTGCTCGGCGCTGGAGCCATACTGCTAGAGCTGGAGGTGCTGCTGTTACTGCTGACCCTGGGGTCGGCACTGGAGTTACTGGAGCCACTGGTCCTGGAGGTGCTCGTACTGGCAGTATTGGAGCTGCTGGGACTGGGGGTGCTGCTTGGGCTGCTGGAGTTGGTCCTGCTGGAGGTATTGCTGGTGCTGCTGGCGGTACTTGAGCTGGCGGCGCTGCTGTTGTCACTGACCCTTCCTTTGAGTCCAGTGCTGCATCTGCCTTGTTTGCTGAGCTTGTCGACTTTGCTGCTCGCTGTCGTCTAGACAACGCCACTAGTGTTGTTGCTGAGTCTGAGTCTGTCTGTCCTACGTCCGTCGGGGGTGAGTGTGCTCTTAGCACGGACGTCGTTGAGGACGGGTAGGAGGAGTTCGAGTGTTTTGCTGCTGCTTTGCCTCATCTCGTGTCCACGCTGATTGCCCCTGAGGGAGACCCGGATGCACCAGACATCCCGACTCCTCGATCGTACGCTGAGGCAATCCAGGGTCCCTACTCCTCACAGTGGCAGTCAGCCATGGACGCAGAGATGGCAACCTGGAAGTCCACAGGCACCTACGTCAACGAGGTTCCCCCACCTGGGGCGAACATCGTCAGTGGCATGTGGATTTTTAGGGTGAAGCGGCCGCCGGGTTCTCCGCCTGTCTTCAAGGCGCGTTACGTGGCTCGAGGCTTCAGTCAGCGGCAAGGAGTTGACTACTTTCAGACCTTCTCTCCCGCCCCGAAGATGACCACTCTTCGGGTGCTGCTGCACATAGCCGCTCAACGCGACTACGAGCTTCACTCTCTTCACAGCTTTCCTGTAGGGCAGCCTGCACGAGGAGATCTGGCTGCGCCGCCCACCTGGCTTCACTGGGTCGTTTCCCCCTGGTACCCAGTGGAGCCTCCGGCGGCCAGTCTACAGTCCCCGCCAGGCGCCGCGTGAGTGGCACGACACACTGAAGACTACACTTGCGGCTCTTGGGTTTGCTCCTTCTACAGCCGACCCGTCGCTGTTTTTGCGCGCCGACACCTCTTTGCCGCCGTTCTACATCCTCGTGTACGTCGACAACTTGGTCTTTGCCACTGCTGACACTGCTGGACTAGCCCACGTGAAGTTCGAGCTGCAGAAGAGACACACGTGCACAGACCTGGGTGAACTGCGCAGCTACCTTGGCTTGCAGATCACCCGGGACAGAGCACAGCGCACCATTACCCTGACTCAGTCACACATGGTGCAGCAGGTCCTTCAGCGCTTCGACTTCACATACTCCTCGCCTCAGGCCACTCCTCTGTCTACTCGCCACTCGCTCTCAGCTCTGCCTTCGGATGAGTCCGTAGAGTCGAGTGGCCCGTACCCAGAGCTTGTTGGCTACCTCATGTACATGATGACCTGCACACGACCTGACCTTGCATACCCTCTTAGCATCTTGGCACGCTATGTTGCTCCTAGGAGAAATCGACCAGAGCACATGGCTTCAGCGAAGAGGGTGTTGCGCTACTTGTGCAGTACGTCGGGCATGGGGCTAGTGCTTGGAGGGCGATGTTCAGTGGTCCTCACAGGTCACGCAAACGCTTCTTGGGCTGACGACCAGGCTACGCAGCGGTCGTCACAGGGTTACACCTTCAGCCTTGGTTCCGGCTCTGTTTCGTGGAGGTCTACCCGCTCGTCTTCTGTTCTCGGCTCCAGCTATGAGTCTGAGATCTACGCGGGAGCCATGGCTGCACAGGAGCTATGCTGGCTCACCTACCTGCTGACTGACCTAGGAGAGCCGCCTCGTTCTCCTCCAGTTCTGTACGCAGACAACAAGGCCATGCTGGCCTTGTGTCGGGAGCACAGACTGGAGCACAGAACGAAGCACATTGCTCTTCGCTACTTCCTTGCTCGTGAGCTGCAGCAGCGTGGTCAGCTGCGCCTTGCTTACGTGGCCTCTGAGGCTAACACTGCTGATATCTTCACCAAGGCACTTCTGCCTTGTGATCATCAGCGCTTGTGTACGATGCTAGGTCTTGTGCCTACTTGGCCTCACTTGCTCACTTCTTGACCTTGCTTGTACTGTGATCTTACTATACCTGCACTTGCTTGTTTACCTTTATATATAATCTTGCATGTGAACTGGCCTTGTGGCCTTGAGCTTGTGCTCGGACTGTGTGGTGACTTTGTGATCCACCCTGGGCTTGCTTTGCTTTGCTTGACTGGTCTTGTGACCTCTTGTTCTCCCCCACTTTGCCTATGGGGGTGTGTCAAACTCATATGCTTTAGTCAGTGTAGGCTATAGTGGGGTAGAAAATATGGGGTACAACACTTTTAGGTTTTCCTACTTGTACCCACCTGCTTGCTAGTTCATTCATTCCTCATTTCTTCACACTCCATTTGAGCGCAGTAGAGAAAGTCAGACTGCAACCTCCATTTGAGCGCAGTAGAGAAAGACAGACTGCAACCTCCATTTGAGCGCAGTAGAGAAAGACAGACTACAACCTCCATTTGAGCGCAGTAGAGAAAGACAGACTGCAACCTCCATTTGAGCGCAGTAGAGAAAGACAGCCTGCAACCTCCATTTGAGCGCAGTAGAGAAAGACAGACTGCAACCTCCATTTGAGCGCAGTAGAGAAAGACAGACTGCAACCTCCATTTGAGCGCAGTAGAGAAAGACAGACTACAACCTCCATTTGAGCGCAGTAGAGAAAGACAGACTGCAACCTCCATTTGAGCGCAGTAGAGAAAGACAGCCTGCAACCTCCATTTGAGCGCAGTAGAGAAAGACAGACTGCAACCTCCATTTGAGCGCAGTAGAGAAAGACAGACTGCAACCTCCATTTGAGCGCAGTAGAGAAAGACAAACTGCAACCTCTATTTGAGCGCAGTAGAGAAAGTCAGACTGCAACCTCCATTTGAGCGTGCAAGCCCACTTGGTGATATGGCAGCCTTCCTGCCAACCTGATACAGGAGTTGCCTTTCTTTGTTGTGTTCCCACCTTATTAAGGGTGCATAACATGCAGCCACCTCACCTTATTCACAATACATCGAATGTAGGCATCTCGGTGCTTCTCAAGGTCCTTGGCGTTTTCGTCCACCCATGCCCGCCCAAGGATCATCTTCACATGCTGCATGCCATGCCCATTACATCACATCCATGCACACCGCATCATTCCAGATGGGTAAGCAATCACATGCCCCTAACAACACCACACCTGTGCCATACGCGGACTACAACTACTATTACCACCAAGAGGGATGCTAGCACTAACAAGAACAACACCAACAACATTAGTAGATACCAAGCAGATACCGACGGGAGGGACCCACTCCTCCTTGCGCTGGATGGACTCACTCCTCCACCTTTCGCTGGATGTACTCACTCCTCCACCTTGCGCTGGATGTACTCGCAGTTGTTCATGAGGAACACGGCGCGCATCGCCTCGTCATGGAACGCGTCGCCCTTGCGCTCCAGATTCGCCTTGAGCGCTGCTAGCAGGTGGCGCGTGGCGGCGCCCACTCGCACGGCGCCCTCGTGGTGGTTGCCGCCCTCGTCGTACACTAGCAGCAGCGTGCCGAGGTACAGCGTACTGTGCCGCTAGGGGCACCCAGACACGCCAGATTGGGAGGGGCGTGTCGGATGGGGTGAGGGGAGAAGGGGGGAGAAAGGGACGGGTGGGAAAGAAGGGAAGAGCAGTGGGGTGAGTGGCCTCACGGAGGCACCTTTGGCAGAACACATCAATGTCATGATCCTTACTGGTGGGCGGGAACAGATAAGCTGACCACGCAGCTGGCCACCTCAAGCTGATGCACAGGGTGTAAATATTGTTTACACATAAGCGTAGAATGTGTTTCCTCAACACCTCTGTGTCAGAATGTTATTATCTAGCCTGTAGTGGGGTGCTCTATAGCGAGTACAGCCCTGTTAGGGTTTGCTATATGTATCCCAACTGCTGCTAGTGAAATCCTCCTCCTTTCTTCATTTCTCTCTTGCCTAGCTAGCTAAACCCTAGCTATGGCTCCTTACTCTGCTCACTATTCTCACATGCTATCAGAGCATCTACGCTCCTAGCCAGTGGGCCCACCTAACTGCTTCTGCTGCTACTCCGTCTGTTGCACGCCCCGTGGCGTGCGGCTCCTCCTTCCCCCTATGCGATTTTTTTTTCGGTTTTTCTTTCCGCCGTGCGCTCAGGGCGCGCGGAGGTTTTCTGCCCGCCGTGCGCCCCGAGGCGCGCGGCGGTTTCCTTCCTTGGGGACCCACGCGCGGCCCCCGCCCTGCTCGTCACGGAGCTTAGGGGAGCACGCGCGGCCCCCGCCCTGCTCGTCGCGGCGCCCTGGGGAGCATGCGCGGCCCCCGCCCCTCACGTCGCGGCGCCCTGGGGAGCCGCGCGCGGCCCCTCGCTGCCCCGTGGTGGCGCCCTGGGGGCAGCGCGCCACCCCTGGAGCAGCGCGCGGCCCCTCGCTGCCCCGTGGTGGCGCCCTGGGGGCCGCGCTCCACCCCTGGAGCCGCGCGAGGCCCCTCGCTGCCCCGTGGTGGCGCCCTGGGGGCCGCGCGCCGTCCCCGTCGCCGTCCCCCGCGCTCCTACCCTGTGCCACCCGTTTTAGGGTTTGGGGGTGGGGAGTGTGGGGGTGACGGTTATGGGGGTGCCGGTTGTGTGCGCCGTCCCCTGCTCCTCCTCCTCCTCCGTCTCCTGCTGCTGCAGCTGCCGCTCAGGGGGGTGGGTGTGTGGGAGCTGAAGGAGTGGCGCTAGGGGGGTGACGTGGGAGTGGAGTTAGGGGTTCAGCAGGGGGTGTGTGTCAAGGGTGTGGGTCAGTTGGAGGAGGTTGTGTGGAGGTAGCTGTCGTGTCGCCTGCAGCGCCTGTAGTCCGTCGCCCTTGCTTCGGTAGCCAGTGAGCCTGTTGCACCAGTCGCCAGTGGGTCCGTTGCTCCTGCCGCTCGTCTATAGCCGCGGAGCCAGTCACTCCAGTAGTCCGTCGCCCTTGCTTCGGTAGCCACGGAGTCAGCCGCTCCTGTGCCCGTGCCTCTGCAGCTTCAGTCGTTGCCTCCCATCTTCTCTCCGTCCACAGTACTCTCCTCCTCCTCACTTGCCCTCTGTGATAGCCTCTAGCTTTGCTTGCCATTGTGAACCTACTCTATGACTCTGTGCTCTGCTGATTACACCCCACTTTGGCTATGGGGGTGTGTCATAATGTTATTATCTAGCGTGTAGTGGGGTGCTCTATAGCGAGTACAACCCTGTTAGGGTTTGCTATATGTATCCCAGCTGCTGCTAGTGAAATCCTCCTCCTTTCTTCATTTCTCTCTTGCCTAGCTAGCTAAACCCTAGCTATGGCTCCTTACTCTGCTCACTATTCTCACACTCTGAGTACAGGAAATGGTTACACATGACATGGCATGACATGGCATCACATCACATCACATCACATCACATCACATCACATCAAATGACATGACATGACATATGACATGAAATGATATGACATGACATGACGTGGCATGAAATGACACGAGTTGACATGACATGAAATGACATGACATGACATGACATGACGTGGCATCACATGGCATCACATCACATCACATCACATCACATGGGGGAGGGGCCACGCACTCGTTGAAGTAGAGCAGGATGAAGTTCACCACGTAGCTCGTCAGAGGGTGCACGACCGGACTGCCTCTCACAACCACGTCCTGCCCCGCCAACCCCCCACCCTCCTTGCTCTCTGCCTTGCTCTTCCCCCGCGTCTCGCCCTTGCCCTCCTCGTGCCCCTTGCTGACCTTCTTTGGCAGCAGCCCCCCCAGAATGCCCCTCCCTCTTGACGCGTTGCCGCTGACCATCCGATTGTGCAACCCACCGCCCCCGTGGTGAGATCGATGGCTGGCATCCGATCTGTGGCTCGGGTCCAAATCCTCCTCCCCATGACTCCCCCATCCCCCATCTCCGTCCTCCTCCCCCTTCCTCTCTTCCCCCCCCTCCTGGCCAGCGGCTGAAACCAAAGGAGGAGGAGGGGGGAAGGGGGGGATGGAGGAGGAGGTGGAGGAGGAGCGGGGGAGAGGGGGGGAGGGGGAGGGGGGCGGGGTGGGGTCGTGGAGCACGATGTGTTGGAAGTCAGCGATGGTGCCCCTCACCGTGCGGCACAGCACCACATAGATGCCCACCAGATGCTGCCGCACCTCACCGCCCGCCTCCCCGGGAAACTGCTTCTCCACCTGCCGGGTTGGAGAGGAGGAGTGGGAGAATGGGGAGGTGGGGTGTGAAGTGAAGCAGGGGGCGGTGCAGTGCAAGGGATACGCAAGGGACGGGATGGTAGCATACAACTGGCTTGCTCTAGTGTAGGGTGTATGAGTGAAGTGTACCCACGGCATAACTCTCTGCATGACACACTGCATGAGGGAATGACTCACAGCATGACTCACGGCATGACTCACTGCATGACCCACTGCATGAGGGAATGACTCACGTCATGACTCACTGCATGACACACAGTGCATGACACACGGCGGGGCATGAGGGAATGACTCACAGCAGGGCGCAGGTTGAGCAGCGCCTCCACCATCTCGAGCAGCGAGAAGACGTGCTCGGGGGCGCGCGGCATGTCCGCGATGATGTCGCCAAACGCGTGTAGCTACTTCAGCGCCGGCACCGCCACGCCCGTCAGACACCGTGCCCGCACCGAGGGGGAGGGGGAGGGGCCGCGCCCGATGATGTCACTGCACACCGCCTCCTCTGCTGCGATCAGCACCAGCATCTGCACACACGCAGAGGAGGACTGCGGTTTAATATTGTGTCAACAGTAGGTGGCCGTGGAGAACGAGCCTAACGGCATGAGCTAATATGAGAGCAGGTGCTTCAGTGTTGGCAGCGCCGCAGCCGTCACCGCCAGGCAACGACCAACAGGAACAGGAGTCGGACAAAGCAGGAGAGGGAGAAAAGAAGAAGAGGAAAAAGAAGCGGGGGATGGAGAGACGCAGGCAAGAAAGGGGGAGAGAAGCAAATACGCAGCGTACAAGCCTCTCAGAATGGAGGCAAGACCAGAGCGGACTCAAGAAAAGCTGGGGCCAAGCCAACCCTCCTACAGAGCCGCCTGGCGTGGTAGCGGCAGCTTGCGACCGGCTCAGTGCTCATAGCTATTCTCCACCGATTGTTACCGTGAGCTTGAGGTTCTCGACCCAGCGCTTCATGAGGGGCTCGAGGTCGGCCCACGCAACGCCACCACCTCGTCACGCGTCAGTGCCGCACTACCCAGCCGCTCCAAACACCGTAGCAGCGCTGCTGCCCGCTGCTCCCTGCCCACAGCAATGGGCAGAGAGGCCGGGGTGGGTTGAACGGGGAGCGGGGCGAAGTGGGTGTGGGGAAGTGCGTGTGCGAAGAGAAAGAGGAAGAGGAGAAGGGATATTTCAAGGTGTCGATGGGGGAAGGACTAGGATGAATAACACGTGCATTGAAATAGAAGACCCTGAGATGCCTAGGCATACAATGTGCATTGATGGGTCGATGATGCCCTGCACATAGAGGAAAAATTATAGGCCAGATCGCACGACTTACTCGTACACTCGCACCCACGCTTCCTCGTAGCTATTGCCCACCATCCATGCCGCCATGGCCCGAAGCGGCTTCACGGCCTCAGGCCGAACCAGAGGCACGGGCGGCACCACCTTGCCTGGCTTCATGCACGCTGCAGATTGGACGAGCGCCTTCCGATCCGGTACCAGGCTGCACGCCAGGGAGGACGGCGGTGGGGTGCGGTGGGGTGAGGTGGGGTGAGGTGTGGTGGCGTTGAGATGGTGTGAGAAATGAGGAATGAATGAACTAGCAAGCAGGTGGGTACAAGTAGGAAAACTTAAAAGTGTTGTACCCCATATTGTCTACCCCACTACAGCCTACACAGACTATAGCATATGAGTTTGACACACCCCCATAGGCAAAGTGGGGGAGAACAAGAGGTCACAAGACCAGTCAAGTAAAGCAAAGCAAGCTCAGGGTGGATCACAACGTCACCACACAATCCGAGCACAAGAGCAAGGCCAAAAGGCCAGTTCACATGCAAGATCATATATAAAGGTAAACAAGAAAGTGCAGGTATAGAAAGATCACAGTACAAGCAAGGTCAAGAAGTGAGCAAGTGAGGCCAAGTAGGCACAAGACCTAGCATCGTACAGAAGCGCTGATGATCACAAGTCGGAAGTGCCTTGGTGAAGATATCAGCAGTGTTGGCCTCAGAGGCCACGTAAGCAAGGCGCAGCTGACCACGCTGCTGCAGCTCACGAGCAAGGAAGTAGCGAAGAGCAATGTGCTTCTTTCTGTGCTCCAGTCTGTGCTCCCAACACAAGGCCAGCATGGCCTTGCTGTCTACGTACAGAACTGGAGGAGAACGAGGCGGCTCTCCTAGGTCAGTCAGCAGATAGGTGAGCCAGCGTAGCTTGTGTGCAGCCATGGCCCCCGCGTAGATCTCGGCCTCACAACTGGAGCCGAGAACAGAAGACGAGCGGGTAGACCGCCACGAAAAAGAGCCGGAACCAAGGCTGAAGGTGTAACCCTGTGACGACCGCTGGGTAGCCTGGTCGTCAGCCCAAGAAGCGTTTGCGTGACCTGTGAGGATCACTTGACGTCGCCCTCCAAGCACTAGCCCCATGCCCGACGTACTGCACAAGTAGCGCAACACCCTCTTTGCTGCAGCCATGTGCTCTAGTCGGTGTCTCCCAGGAGCAACATAGCGTGCCAAGATGCTAAGAGGGTATGCAAGGTCAGGTCGTGTGCAGATCATCAGGTACATGAGGCAGCCAACAAGCTCTGGGTGTGGGCCACTCGGCTCTACGGACTCATCCGAAGGCAGAGCTGAGAGCGAGTGGCGAGTAGACAGAGGAGTGGCCTGAGGCGAGGAGTACGTGAAGCCGAAGCGCTGAAGGACCTGCTGCACCATGTGTGAATGAGTCAGGGTGATGGTGCGCTGTGCTCTGTCCCGGGTAATCTGCAAGCCAAGGTAGCTGCGCAGTTCACCCAGGTCTGTGCACGTGTGTCTCTTCTGCAGCTCGGACTTCACGTGGGCGAGTCCAGCAGTGTCAGCAGTGGCTAAGACCAAGTTGTCGACGTACACGAGGATGTAGAACGGCGGCGAAGAGGTGTCGGTGCGCAGAATCAGCGACGGGTCGGCTGTAGAAGGAGCAAACCCAAGAGCCGCAAGTGTAGTCCTCAGTGTGTCGTGCCACTCACGGGGCGCCTGGCGGAGACCGTAGACTGGCCGCCGGAGGCTCCACTGGGTACCAGGGGGAAACGACCCAGTGAAGCCAGGTGGGCGGCACAGCCAGATCTCCTCGTGCAGGCTGCCCTGCAGGACAGCTGTGCTGAAGTCAAAAGGGTGAAGCTCGTAGTCGCGCTGAGCGGCTATGTGCAACAGCACCTGAAGAGTGGTCATCTTCGGGGTGGGAGAGAAGGTCTGAAAGTAGTCAACTCCCTACCGCTGACTGAAGCCTCGAGCCACGTAACGCGCCTTGAAGACAGACAGAAAACCCGGCGACTAAAAATCCACATGCCACTGACGATGTTCGCCCCAGGTGGGGGAACCTCATCGATGTAGGTGCCTGTGGACTTCCAGGAAGCCATCTCTGCGTCCATGGCTGACTGCCACTGTGAGGAGTAGGGACCCTCGATCGCCTCAGCGTAGGATCGAGGAGTCGGGATGTCTGGTGCATCTGGGTCTCCCTCAGGGGCAATCAGCGTGGACACGAGATGAGGCAAAGCAGCAGCAAAACACTGGAACTCCTCCTGCCTATCCTCAAGGACGTCCGTGCTAAGAGCACACTCACCCCCGACGGACGGAGGACAGATAGACTCAGACTCAGCAACAACACTAGTGGCGTTGTCTAGACGACAGCGAGCAGCAAAGTCGACAAGCTCAGCAACCAAGGCAGACGCAGCAGTGGACTCAAAGGAAGGGTCAGTGACAACAGTAGCCAGGAGACGCGTGATAGTAGGACTGGAAGCACGAAGAGAGTCAGACTCCGTGTCAGCAAGAACAGGAAGAGAGGACGCTGGAGGAGACGGCAACGGGACACGCAGAGGAGCAGTGGACGGACGCAGTGCCATCTGGTGTGTGCCTGGGACCGAAGGAGGACGCGGACGCCGAGCACGACAACTAGTGCGAGCAGCACGAACAGGCAACGCAGGACAAGACTAGGCTTACGTCACCCAGCACGACCTCTAGTAGGACCAGTGTAGGGAGAAGGACCAGGGAGGAGGAAGGCAGGCTGGAAATGTGACCGCGACTGGATGGGCTGTGCACACTCTAAGGGAGGAGCAGGACCAGTAGAGGGCGGGAGACCAAGAACCTGCTCAAGGAGCGGAACAAAGTACGGCCGCGGCCGCAAAGTGCCTCCAGAACTAGCAGGGACAGAACCAGTACTCCAAGTGGCTGTACCAGCTCCAGCAGCACCTCCAGCTCCAACAGCACCAACTCCAGCACCCTCAGAGGCACCACCGCCTGCAGCACCTCCAGCGCCAACACACCCAGCTGCTCCAGCTCCAGCAGCTCCAGCTCCAGCAGGATCGTCAGCTCCAGCTCCAGCAGTACCTCCAGCGGGACCAACTCCAGCAGCCCGAGCAGCACCCCCAGTCCCAGCAGCTCCAATACCGCCAGTACGAGCACCTCCAGGACCAGCAGCAACAGTAGCACCTCCTGCTCCAGCAGCACGGCTCCAGCGCCGGGCAAACCACTCGCGCAGCTTCTGCGGAGAGGGTAGCTCCCACATCGGCGAAACACCGCCAGAGGCCACACGAGCAGACCCAGCACCCCTAGGCTCCGCACCCCCAAGCTCCGTACCCCCAGGCTCAGCACCCTCAGGCTCCACACCCCCAGGCTCAGCACCCCCAGACCCGGCACCCGCAGGCTCAGCAACCCTAGACTCAGCACCCCTAGGCTCAGCACCCCCAGACCCGTCACCCGCAGGCTCAGCACCTCTAGCAGCACCAAAGTCAACAGCTACCTCGACAAGCTCGACTGCGTCTACCTGAGACACACCTAATGGGGCAGGACCCAGAGGGGGGAGAGGGTCTACCGGGGGAGGACCTGGCGCTAGGAAGAGCGGCGGCGGGGGGAGGGGCGCAGTGCGGTAGGGGAAGAGACGGTAGTAAGGCACCCACTCGTCAAACGTGACGTCCTGGGAGGACAGAACACGGCGCGAGATGGGGCGGTAAAACTGCCAACCAGGCGCGTCAGGGGGGAAGCCAAGGAAGACGCAGGGAACAGCACGGGGGGACAGCTTGTCCGCAGACAAGTCGCGGACAAACGCCCGAGATCCCTGGACACGAAACGCAGACGCATCGCCAACCTTCCCCGTCCACCGCAAGGTGGGGGAGGTCTCTAGCAAGGAGACCCGGGGTTGAAGGTTGAGCTGATGCGCTGCGTACTGGACCGCAAATGGCCACAGAAAATGGGAGGCAGCCGCATGGATCATTGACGTACGAGCGAAGTCCATGACCATGCCAATGTGGCGCTCAGCAATCCCATTTTGCTGTGGAGAGGCCAAAAGCGTGAAGGTCTGGTGGATGCCCTGTGCATGACAGAAGGCTCCCAGACGGGGAGAAGGAAAACTCCCCGCCTCTGTTAGAGTGCAGACGCAGAACACGAAAGTCCGAGCCGAAACTCTTTCTAAGCTGGAGACAAGCCGTGCGGATCCAGACCATCAACACCTCAGTGACGTCACCCTTGCTGTGCAAGGGGAACACCATGGTGTAACGCGAGTAGTCGTCAACCACCAACAGTAAGTAACGCTCGTTACCCTGGCCACGGACGCGGGCGGGGCCCCACACGTCCATGTGAAGAGTCTTCATCGGAGCCTCTGTCGTAGGAAACTCGGAGGAGTGAGGGGCGGCGCGCTACCGCCCCTCGATGCAGGGAACGCAGGTAGGGGCAGGCCCCGGAGGGAGGAGAGGGAGGGACCGGGGGAGACCATAGACAAGGACACGGGAGGCCATGCCTCGGAGACGAGGCAGGGAGGGGTGACCAAGTCGGTGGTGCCAAAGGAGAGTCTGGTGGGACAGGAGACGACACGACCAGAGAGCAGACTCAGGACCAGACTTGGACGCTGCAGCAAACACCTGACTCAACGCAGCTACCTGACCAGACTCAGCAACCGGAGGAGACTCAGTAGTCAGTGTGTAGAGGCTCGACCCCGGCCGACGGGTAAACGTGGCCAAGTGTCGGCCCGTCCGAGCACACGTACAGTGGGTCACCCGTTGACTCGCAGGAGTGAACTAGTCAACACCCCCATCCTGTAGATCAGCACCACTCACCAGGTTCGTAGAGAACGAGGGGAGGTAGAGACCTGACACGGTGCCAGAGGGGGCTGCCGGACACGGTAAGACAGTGGAGAAGCGAGCAAGGACAGGACCCCAAGAGGGGTCCGCCAAGGAGACCGCAACCGGCCGACTAAGCGGCGTAAGCGTGGTGTGGTCTCGAAAGAAGGAGCGGGAAGCACCCGAGTCAAGGGTGAAGGTGTGTAAGGCCTGAGCCGACGTGGTACCTGATAGAGCAGACTCACCAGCACCTGGGGCAGCAGACGCACTAGCACCTAGAGCAGCAGCCTCACCAGCACCTTGAGCAGCAGCCTCAATGCCCGGGTGAGGCGGAATACACAGGTAACAGATACCCTCATCGCTAGTAGACATTGCATACATGGCAGCAAGAATAGCATCATAGTCAAGATCAAAGATAGCAACCCCCGCCCTAGACAGCTCTCCCCAGCGAGGGATCTCAGTGGCGTCAAGGAACTGGTGACGCCAAGCGTCCGTCAGGCGGCCAAAGCAGCGCTGGGTGGAGTGCGAGCCCCCGCACTGCTCACCAGCGCGGTCGCCGGTACGTAGGACGTAGGTACAGGGACCAGTACCCCCACCTTGCTGACGCCCAGCGTACCACTCACGAAGCTACTGGGGGGACGGGGTCTCACGAGAGCGCTGCTGCTGCTGGCGCTGACCACCACCTAAGCCGCCCCGCTGCGCAGAGCCACCCCGACTAGCTCCACCTCCTCCGCCGCCACCTCCGCCATCGCCACCACCACCTCCTCCTCCGCTCCCACCGCCACTGCCGCCGCCGCCCCCGCCGCCACCGCTGCCACCGAAGCCCCCACCCCCGCCAATAGTCCCACCACCACCCCCACTCCCTCCGCCTCCTCCACCTCCACCGCCCCCGCCTGCCCCTCCAGCGCCCTTGCCCCCCTTGCCCTTGCCGGTGCGGCGTCGCCTGCTAGGGGCAGACGTCGCGCCGACCGGCTCGGTGCCAACAAAGTCGACGGCAGCAGCAGAGGCAACAGAGGGCAAAAGGGGGGAGGGGGAGCACCCCTCAAAGACAGGGGCACGCGGGTCACGTCGAGAGGCTCCTACAGCGACTATACTCTTCTCAGCTGCCAGGAGGCGCTCCTCGAGGAGGTCAACGGTGAGTGTGGTGGGGCAAAGAGAGAGGAAGTGGTCCCTAACCGAGCGAAGGGAGTCAGGGAGCCGGGTGACTATGTAGTAGAGGGTGATGTACATGTTGGGGGGGGTTCTTGGCGCAGAGCTCGGCAGGAAGCGCAGCGCGGTAGCTGGTGTCACTAGTCTGAAGGTGCGTAACGAGGTCAGCGACAGTGAGAAAGGCGGCGAGGTCAGGAAACAAGTACGGCAGCATTAGGCGGCTAAGGGCAGCAGTGGCAGGGGAAGAGTAGCGTGCAACTACAGCATCGTATAGGGTCTTAGCACTCTTGTACTAACTAAAGAGCGCACGCTCAGCGGTCGGTAAGTGGCGACGCACAGCAAGACGGGCAGCAGCATCGCGTGTGGCCCACTGTGAGCGAACAGTGCTGTCAGCATCAGCAGGCGGGGCAGGAGAGGCACCAGAGGTGAGATCGAACAGGGAGAGTCTGTCTGCCCTATCGCACTGTAGGAAGAGCTGTAGGTCATCAACCCAGACCTCGAAGTCAACAGCACGACCCTCAGCATCAAAGGTAAGGACACTGCGGGTAGCCATGACAGCAGTGGTCTAGCAGAAAGTGCTCTCACCAGTCCGGGTGGGTAGGGCCGTGGCGCGCCGGTAGGAACAGAGCTGCAACCGCGGTGGCAGCGGCTCAGCAGTGGCAGTGGCAGCTTGACGGCGGCCTCGGCGGCTCGGCTGCAGGCGGCTCGGCGGTTCGGCGGCTGAGCGGCTCGGCGGCTCGGCAGTTCGACGCCTCGGCGGCTCGGCGGTTCTGCTGCTTGGCGGGCCTTGAGAGAGGGGGCCGCTAAGGGCAGCGCGACCGGTCGCTAAGGGCGGCGCGACGGGTCGCTAAGGGCGGCGCGACGGGCCGCTAATGGCGGCGCGACGGGCCGCTAAGGGCGGCGCGACGGGTCGCTAAGGGGAGGGCGGCACACAGGGCGCGCCTCAGTCAGGGGCGACTCGATCTCAGGGCAGGAAAAAAAACAAGAGGCGACGAATTCGTCTTAGGGTTGCGAAGCGTTTTGCGTATTTATGTAAATTTGTACAACTTCTAATTCTGTACATTATGCTGTAGTATGACACTAAGTGGTACTTCCTCTCACCAGGCAAAGATTATAAATACTGCATGAATGAGAATCGAACTGGAAACTTTCGGTTCCACCGTCAACCTTGTACGACTGCGACAGCACTAATGTCCATTCGAATATTTAAGTTTTACTTATATTCAAATTTGCGACGAATCTGAGACTACCTTAGGGTTTGTTTGCCCTTCTTCTCCCGCTTCTCCTTCTCGCTCGTCACGCTCTACCAACTTCTCCACCTACTCTAACTGCAACTTAGGTAAGACGATCCCTCAATTATAACTCCAAATAAATTAGATGCCTATTAGATAGACTAACATTTAGTCATTCCGTATCCTAACCGTGTAAATGGATGAGTATTAGCGAGACTTAGTTGTTTAAACTTAGGTTCTCGGCCCTTTGTAAAGATTTCAGGTTCTCCTTCCTGCATAAGCTTGCATCTGTTTCTTCTATTCTTCATCCTTCAACTTTTCCTCTCGTCGGTTGCCTTTTCTTCATATTTGCATGTTTTAGTTCATTTTTCTCTCAACCTCGTCTTAGGTTGTACCTAAAGATTGTAATAGGTTGCACGTTCAGTCCATTTCGTTCTCTCTCGCTCGTTCTCTCTCTCCCGTTCTCTCTCTCACGTTCTCTCTCTCCCGTTCTCTCTCTCCCGTTCTCTCTCGCTCGTTCTCTCTCTCCCATTCTCTCTCCCGTTCTCTCTCGCTCGTTCTCTCTCTCCCGTTCTCTCTCTCCCGTTTTCTCTCTCCCGTTCTCTCTCTCCCGTTCTCTCTCTATCGTTCTCTCTCTCTCGTTCTCTCTCTCGTTCTCTTTCTCGTTCTCTCTCGTTTTCTTTCTCTCTCGATCTCTCTCTCTCGTTCTCTCTCTCTCTCGTTCTCCCTCGCTCTCTTGTTCTCTCTCTCTTGTTCTCTCTCTCTCTCGTTCTCTCTCTCTCGTTCTCTCTCTCGCGTTCTCTCTCTCGTTCTCTCTCTCTCTCTCTCTCTCTCTCTCTCTCTCTCTCCCACTCTCTCTCTCTCTCGTTCTCTCTCTCTCTCTCTCTAATGGTCCTTTTATTGATATAGCAGTCAAGTACAGGCAGGCAAGTTATAGTGGCCTAGGTAACAAGCATGCTGGTTGCAAACATCGCCGATCTACAACTCTACGAGGCGCTCAATCACTGCAAAGCAGTCCCCTAGATGCAACTCATCCCCAATTCCTCCCACCGGTGGGTTCTCAACCGCCGCCGCCTCCCCAAGCTTGAGCAGGAGGCCTACAGATTGGGCCCTTTGCAGGGCCACAGACCAGCGTTGCCTGAACTGGTGCAGGAACTTTGCAGCATAGAACGATTTAGAGTCGGCGTTGAAGTGCCGCCGAGCTGCAGTGTCCGCTAAGAGCTTCAAAAAGGCTGGTACCTCCGCACACGGGCAGCCATAGGTGTCCACAGCCAGGGGGAAGAAGGTCACCGTCTCTGGTAGGGAGGCGTAGTGCTGGATTTTCTTGTCCGCTTGCTCCCGGGCCGCCCAGCCCCTGCCCTTCTGTGCCTCCGGATCCCTTGTGCTAATGGGGTCGGTGATGGTGACGTCACATATATAGACGGCCCCACTGCTTCTGTCTGTCATTGTAAAGTCGGCCGTCTGTTCCTCAACGGGGCAGTGCGCTGAGGACTCGCTGTGAACGATGAAACCCGCGTCTTGGGCCATGCTGATGCAGGCATCGCGCAGCTCGTTGTGGGTGTTGATGCGATGCTTGCCTGTGCCGCAGCGGAGAAGGTGGTTCGGGAGGCGGGGGTCCGTGATCTCCGTGTGATCCGCACAGTCGCAATTCTTCGGCGTGGAGAAGGGGAGGGCCAGCCGGAAACGTACGGCATTGGAAAAGTGAGTGGGCCCTATCCTCCTGTTGGCCGCAATCGGGATAGCGGTCACCCAATCCCCAGTCCCGTACCCCGTCATTGAGTACATCCGCTGCGTATGTCCGCACAAGGGGTTCACCGCCATCTCCCTCGTCGCCTGCACCTGCGCCGCATATCTACTCCCATGCACCCTTAGCGCCAATGCGTGCTGGAGCCTCAAATCAGTTTGCTCCAGCCGTTCTTTCTCCAGGACTTCTCGCGCATCGTCGGGTAACGCTGCTTCACACTCCGACAGCCACGTGTGAAGGGGCGTGGTGGTGTCGGCGGGCAACTGCATGTGGTCCCGCGCCTGCGCCAGCGCGCCCTCAGGGGCGCCGTCTAGTGATGCGATGAAAAGCGCCGCCTGCGTGAAGCTCGCGGCGAACCCGAAAACACCCTCGACCAGCGGGTCAGTGATGCTTATCCCTCCCAAAGACGGCGGCAAAGACGCCTGCGCCCAGACACATGCTTGCTCGGTACGGCAGGTGGGGACGCGAAGGTGGCATGCTGTGAGTAGTGCCGCTAGCAGGTCTGTCCCCCACTGGCTCCAGGTCTCTCGTGGCAAAAGGGAAAGCGGTGTTGTTCTGGTAAGATATGCCACGCGCCTCGAAATGCAGCGGGGTGAGCAATAACGAGGCTACCTGCGGGTCGGCTTTCTCAAGCAGTGGCAGAGGTTTGGCCATCTCCTGCAGCTGACCCGACAGGAACTGTGACGCCCCCCTGTCAGGCCCCACGAAGCTTCCGAGCAAGCGAACACCTTCCTGGGAGAATGGTACGCCGTGCGGCAACCGATCCTTTACTACTGCTTCTCTGCTCCAGGCTGCGCATTTCTGCGCATTATGTCGTAATCCCAGGTGTGCCAGCTTCTCGGTGAAATGATTGAAGGCTGCTACAGTAGCCGTCGCCTCCCCCAAGAATGTGACGTCGTCAGCGTATGCCAGACACAGCACCTGGGGGTGTGCTGCAGCAGTGTCGCGGAGTGCAGTGTGCATTCCCGCCGCAAACAGTAGTGGGCCAAGTGGGTCCCCTTGGCGCACGCCCCGTTCGCTGATTAGTGGGTCCGATCCGAAATTCGCGTCGACGAATAATTTCGACGGGTTACCGTATGTCAGTTTCACCAGCGGCAGTAGTGGCAACAACTCCGGTCCTTGTAACGCTATCGCGATAGCTTGCCGTGAAATGCTGTTGAATGCATTTGAGATGTCGGTTTGCAGCACGAGGCTGTTGGGAAGCTTGTCCAGATACGCCCGTGCCACGTGGATGACTGCCTCGGCTCCTCCAGGCACAGCTACGCCATACTGTAGAGGCAGGAAAAAGGCCCGCGCGGCCTCTCCCATGGCTACGAGGGCTGCTTTGGCAGTCAACCGCGTGATACATTCGCCAATGGCGATAGGTCGAGCCCCCCCACCAGGTTTGGCCAGGGCAATGAGCCGTGAAGCTGTCAGTAGGTCCGACACCGGTGCTGGAAGGTTGCCCCCCAAAATGGTGTTAACCAAGGCGTGCAGATGGGTGCTAACTCGTCCATTCGTGATTGCCGCGTCGCGCATGTGTTCGAATGTCGTTCCCGAAGGCCCGGCACCGATCCCATTTTCACACCTCCCCAACAGTTTGGCAAAGTCAGCCTGGGTGATGGACAATTTTGACTCAGGCGAGGGTGGCCACGTCGTCTCCCCTGATTCGGCTGGCGGGTGTTTCTGTCGAAGCTCCACCAGAATTTCCGGAGTTGGGGTGCGGACTGGCGTTGACTCCAACGCCAGCACAGCGCGTCGCAGGCTACCCCGTTTCGCCAGGCCCTCGGCCCGGCTGATGACCCCGGTTGCGACGGGCTGGTGACGTGGAGGCGTGGGAGTGTTGACTGCTTCGATCGCATCCTGGTACAGTTGACCCCACTCGCCACGTTGGAAGGCTCAGAGCCGGGCCTTGATCTGGGGCCAGTTTGGTTTCCGTGGCGAGGTCTGGCGAAGCGTCAGACGTGGCAGAAATAGGAGTAGGCGCCAACCTGCCTCTCCTTCCGGGTTTCGTGACAGGTTGAGTAACGGGGTTAGCAGCGCCAGCGAAAACAACTGGCACAAATTGGGCGGTAACCGCCTTGCCAGGGATGGTTGTCGACTATCGCAGAGGGCTGGGATATCCCAGTTCTCGACGCCAGCGAACAGATCTGCTCGCGTCGCCAACTCCTCTGGCGTAAAATAGCGCGGGGGATTGGGATTGTCTCGCACCGATGCCGCTGCCATCGCGGCCCAATTTCTCCCGGTGCGGCCCGGCCTCCCTTGTGATGGTGCGGTTGGAATTTCGCCCGTACGATTGCCATCGAACGGTCCAGCCGCGGTGGTCCTTCCCTCTCCTAAGGACCGCCTTGGTCTCGCTCCCGTCCTTCTCCCATTCTCCTCTACCCCTTCCTCTGCTTCTGTCCCTTCGTCCTCACTCAATGGGGTTGGCTCTTCTCTATAAGAGGGGTCATTTTCTTCTTCGTCATTAAGTAGCCTAGTTAAAGCCCTTCTGGCCTCCCTCTGATAGCCATTCTCTGGCCCCCCTCCTCGACCACTAACTGCTGCTCGCCCATCGCCTCGTGCTCCCTGTCCTCGCGATGGTGATTGCTGGTGTGACCGATTATTCGCCAGTGCGCGCTGGCGCTGCGTCGGTTGTACTCGAAAGGCCGTCGTCTGCCTTAGGAGCGAGGACCGAGGCGACGGGCTCCCCGCCGCTGTCTGTTCCGCCGCCCGGCCTAGTAGCCGCTGAAAAGACTCCTCCCCTCGAATCCGCACGTCCTCTTGTCGTGAACGGGGTTGAGCCGTCTGCGCCGATGGTTGCTCCTCCCGCTCTGCCTGTCGCGCCCGCTCCGCCTGTTCTCCCTGTTCCTGCCGTGCCGCTGGCGGCATCTGCTCCTGCCGGAGAGGTCGCCGCTCATCCTGTCCCTGTGCCTGGCGTTCCAGCTGCACCTGCCGGTGCTGTCCCCGGCGTGCCGGCGCTGGCGTCTGCTTCTTCGTTGCTTGCGGTGTCCGCCACCACTGGCGGCCCGCCCTCGGTGGTTGCTCTTCCGAGCGCGGATCAGTCTCCTCCCGTTCCACCGCCGGCGGCTCCGGTTGTTCCGCCGTCTCGTCCCCCGTCGCCTGACCGCCGCTTGTCCCGGCCCCATTCTCCAGCGCCCCAGCAGGAGCGCGAGACGTCTCGGCGCCGGCGGAACTCCCCCCGGCGCTACCAGCAGCAGGCCCAGTGGCCAACGCATCCAGGTGGCAGTGGGGGATGGCGGGGCCCCCCGGGGCGCGGTGGAGGCGGGTGGTATCGGCCGCCAGTGACGCTGGCGGACCTCCAGTGCGAGGTGTCGCGGGAGGTGTCGCGCGCCGTACGTCAGGGGAGGGCAGTGCCGAGCCAGAGCAGTTCGCGGCAGGCTGCTCCGGAGCCCGTTGCTCCTCGTTCGCCTGTGCATCCTGTAGCCCCTCCGCCGGCTGTTGCTCCTCTTCCTCTTGTCCCTGCCCCGTCCGTTCCTTCTCCTTCTGTTGCGGCGCCGGCGACCGGCTCCCGCCTGCATCTGCCACCTGTTCCGCCTGTCGCAGGGGTAGAGTTCATGGCGGCGGGTAGTGGCGCGGCTGCGGCTCCGTACGCAGCTGATGAGTCCCTCCGGTTCCTAGCGGCGGCTCTGCTGCCTCCGCAGACGCGCGTTCCTGAGACAACGCTTGGTCAGCTTCACCGTCTCGCGGAGAGCCTGCATGCTCTGCTTCTGATTCAAGTGCTTGCGCACTCGTCTCTCCCTGCTGTCCCGCCCGAGTCCTTTCGCAGCCACCTGCGTGACCCGTGCCTCGACGCAGCTGACCAGCTCGCGGAGCTGCTGGCGCCCGTGCTGGCTGCGCCCGCGGAGGGAGGCGCTGCTGCCGCGGGACAGCTTGGTGAGGCTGTCCGTGCACTGCGGCGATACTTGCACGCAGGATCCGGAGCCGCGGCGATCGGCGCAAGCACGCTTGTGGTCCGGGAGCTGTGGCGCTCCCTGACGGGCATCCTCCATGCCCTTGGAGCTCACCGCATGTAGGCGCGGGCTCCTGTAGCTCCATTTAGTGTACCACGCGGCTAGGCCGCGGTAGGTGGTGCCATTGGTGTAATGCTTCTTTGCTATTAATGGTTCCTTGCGTGAATGCTTGCCGTCCCCTTTACGCGCGGCCGAAGGCCGCGCCGTCGAGCGTCGGCCGCCGAAGGCGGCCGGCGCGAGTGCAAAAATCTCAGCCGCCAAACTAACAATGAGGAAATGGCCTTAGAAAGGCCTTAAGTAGGCTAGGGGCAGGAGGCAGAGGCTAGGGGCAGGGGGTAGAGGCTATTCCTCTCTCTCTCTCTCTCTCTCTCTCTCTCTCTCTCTCTCTCTCTCTCTCTCTCTCTCTCTCTCTCTCTCTCTCTCTAGTTATCTCTCTCTCGCTATCTCTTGTTACAACCATTCTCTTCATTCTATTTTAACCTTCAATTCTTAATATCACATCTTTCTTCTTGCATTCGATGCTTCTTTTTGTTATCGCAGATACTCGCTTTTAGGCAGGATGGATATGAAGGGAGGGAGTGTCGTACCACTTACAGTTCTTTTTTTTTAGTTCCTTTAATGATGAGTAATTGTTTGATTTGTTTCATTTCTGTTTGTATTATGCTTCTTCTCGTTGCAATCGTAATGCATATCTGCATTTTTCAATAATATATCTTGCCGATCATCGTCACAAAAGGTTGAGTGGTCCACCACTATGACAGTGAAGCCACTTTCAGCTGGACTTGATCGGTTTAGATATTTTTTTGGGATATGCAGTTTGTATTGCTTTATTACAGTAGCTGTTTTTTCAACCCTTATATTGCTGACTTCCCCGACATGCTAGGCGGGGGAAGCGGTAGTATAAATTTAGAACTTAAAATATTCATCAATTCATTTGATGAATTTGAGAAATGCAATTATCGTTTGGTCGGTCATTGCAGTTCTCCACAGATTCTCACATTTCTAAATCATGCGTGTT